TTAATGCTCTCCATTATTCTTAGATGTTTAAATCTTGTGTATATCAACCCCAGTTTTAACCACATTAGGACCAAACAGTTACAACAACAGTTAGATATTGGTGTGAAATAACCTTTGGTAACACTGATATCCAGAATAGTAAAGATACTACTTATTCCATGTTAAACAGTATTCACATAGGACAGGCAGATGTGCCAAAATATTAAGCAAAGATACACCCAAAATCCATAGGAAATTCCAGGAGGAGGCTTTATAACAGTTGCAACAGGCTGTGGCTTTATCTGACTATCCTGTAGCTTGCAGTAGTGCTTCTGATGTCCTCCATGACCCAAATTTCCCAAGAGAAGCACCTGCTGGTTGGTACATGAAATGAGGCTGATAAGTTGGCTCTAGGCCACGTAATTGGCTCTAGATCGCAAAGTATTAGGCTGGCTATAGAGGCAGATAACAATAGGCTGGTAGCAGGCCAAAAGAAGGTGCGGTAACGCTTGTGCTGTGGTGTGAACCCAGCCTAAGAAAAGAAAACTATTGCAGCCACTACATTTAAAGGCTGGTACACTGTAAGGTTTAAAGTGACATAAAGTCACCCCCATTCCCCAATGCTACTTTGAGGACTTACCTAAAATTATGCCTCTTGATCCAATCATCTTCTTTCCAGTAGTTTTCTGGAGTCCCTCCAGCGATGGTGCCGGTCTCTAATCCAGCACTGACTGTTGTGTCTTCTGTGTCCCATGGTGTCTGTCTGTGTGCACGCTGCCGGCTGCGTGCATTGACTTACACTGTGCCTCTCCTCTTCTGCGCATGTGCCCACCCCATGATCCTTCACGACCACTCAAGAAGCTCCAGATCTTCAGACGGGAGCGAGCGGCAGAGACACAGGTAAGTTTTGACCTATTTGGTAACTTTTTTATTTTTTAAATGTTTTTGCATATAATATGCAAACAAAAAACGAAGGTTTTTTCTTGGGTTTCGACTCACATTCTAACATAGTTTTTATTGCTGCACTTTACACGAATGTAATATTTCCAGTGTTTCCTAGATAACTGGCACAGTAGTCGTCAATTCCTGGCATGGGTTAGTTCATATTGACTGAACCTCAGTGGTCTCCTGGCAGAATACTGAAAGTAGGGGAGTTTAGGCTCCTTGTCTTGAACAACAAATATCAGTAAGGACATCTCACATATTTGATTAGTGTTTGGCTATAAAATCAGTTCAACAGTCAGCTGCATTTGTAGCTGTATACATACTAATAATGGTGATCCTGAAACTTCAAGTGATCTACCCATTACAAATTTTTTAAAAACTATTTATTTTTCCGTAATAGCAGCTAATAATACATTTAACAGGCCCCCTGAACAAATATAATTGCTATTTTAGTTATAACATTTGTTCTTTACACTTTTACAAAGTCTAATGCTGATCTTACATAGGACAGCTTTTCTTGTACATTTTGCTAGCTTTGATTGCAACAGTGATTTAAGGTATCAAGACAATTTACACACAAATGCTATGGGGTTAATTTACTAAAGGCAAATAGGCGGTTCACTATGCAAGGGAATTTGCACGTAGCAGGGGAAGTTTGCCCATAGGTTAGTGACTGAGGGTAAGTTCTGCTGACTTCCATCACCCAGTCATGTTCTAGAAAAAAAATTTGTTTTTTAAAATTTTCCTTACACATTATCGGGTATTCTTTACAAAGTGAAGTTTCACCACATTCACTAAGCTAGGGAAACTTCCCCTGCAAAGTCCCTTGCAAATTGCCTTTAGTAAATCAACCCCTGTGTGTTTAAATCTACATGGCAGGGGTAGTCGTAGGATGCCTCTATATTTTTCGTGATTGAAAGCTGATTGCAAGTTGTTAAAATGTGTTCATGTGTATTGCCAGCGTAAGGTTAAAGAGGGCAATGAAAATCCTGTCCTATCTGTAATTACTTGTATACTTTGATTTTCACCTGCCTGGGGAAAGATGTTAGCCTAATACTATGTATTAGAAGAAAAAGACCATATGTACATTATTTGTATCAATTCTAAGTGGTTGCATCATCATTTTGATTTTCTGTTTTTTAGCTGCATGCAAAAAAAAATTCAGAAAAACAATTTCTCACTTGACAAGGAACAACACAAGAGTACATGTACAGACGGTTTGCATATAGAGTTACTGACAATCATAAAGAACACTGACAAATGTTGTCACATTGGTTTCTGAAAATTGTTATATATAAAGTGTACAAGATGTTTTATAAAATGCTACTATAATTGCCATGTGGTAGATAAAATAACAGTAATAAAGGTTTAACACTGTTCTTCTGTGTATGTAATACTTTTATTATTCGGTGTAATAATTTTAGTGCCATGAACCAAAAAGCTTTGGATATTTGCTTTTTAAAAAAGGGCACAGTAACTCAGTGTAAAAATGAACGAGGGCTGAGCTGTTATAAAAAGCAAGTAGTGAATATTTGCTGAATACACGCTATGCTATTCAAATTTTAGTGCATTTACTGGGGCATCCCCTTTTTTAACCTTTAACCTAGTGGAATGGTGGAACAATGTTGACAAATTGCTACCATTTATCAAAAGGATGGGGGCTAGAATGTTACCTGCAGCGGACACACGGGCATAAATAGCAACATGGCAGGCAAATCCTCTGATGTTTGTATATTTTCTGGTAGGTAGCCAAGCAGGCACATTTTGGGTTAATAGGCACACCCATAAGATTAAAGTAATTATCTTCTAATATCCCATTATGTGCAGGTATACCTAATATGTATGCATAAAACAGATAAGAGTTTTCCACACTTTAGACAGCTGGGGTCCCTTGCTCTCTAAAACTGATTAAGTATATGCAAGCTTTAGGGAACTTCCTGTAGAATACTCACTTGTGTAATTCTACCTGGAAAATACAGTATAGCATGTTTTAAGGCTCCCAGTATATATTCATAATCAATACCCACTGTATCCATGTCACGGTCAGTTTTTTTTTTAACTATAGGCAAGATTGACCATTACAGAATGAGCCATAGAAAGTTGTTGTTTAGGTAGTAAAGCACAGTGTAGTCTTCTTAAAAGAGAACATTTCCTCATTTCACTCCCATCACAAATCCCCAAAAATGGAAGCTTATTCCTCATTTAGGGTCAAATCATGCAAACCATTCCTATATGCTTCTGAGCCAACTGTGCATCCAGAACCACTGGTTTATAGCATTTTTACAGCCTTATATAAACACATTTATTGAAACTGCATACAGCTGTTTCAGACTTGTTGACCATCATCAGTGTATTGAATTGTAATAATGGCTTCTGGACTGGAGTAAAGCTTAAACAACAGTAATATAACTATACACGTTGTTAGGAGCCAAAAAGCCCTCCACTCAACCAGTGTGGCGCACAGTGAAGCCTCCCAAAAAAATGGTATGAAAATCGTTTCAGTAAAGCGTTGCATGACGGAATAAACATCAGTCAAAGTACCGCAGCGCTGAATACTAAAAAATGGCCTGGCCAGGAAGGGGGTGAAACACTATGGCCTTCAAGTGGTTAAAACAGAGAATGGTTTAGTGGAGATTTTTGGTATACCTCACCACAACCTGGTTATATGTTTTTGTTGTTTAGGTAGTGGAATTAGTAGTATAGTAAATATAGGGTTTCTATTCTGAGCATGCTTGGTCAGAATATTGTTATCGGAAATAATGAAAGTAAATGATTTGGTAATTAAAATAATTGAGTTGGTCATCATGCTTTATATGTTGAAAGTTATATCCTTGTTTATATCTTCACATTGATCTGGAATAGTTAGATACTCAGGAAGTCATCTATTACCGTTAGGGGATGTAGAGAGATATGCATGTAAAAATTTTATTCTTTTTTTTCTTAGAAATATATAGCAGACACCTTCACAAGATACCCCTTGTCTTGGAGAAGCTTCTTTATACAGTCTCTGTTCATCAACATTCACATAAAACTTTTCACTGAACAACACACAAATATTCTGCAACACATTCATATTGATAGTATCTAATGAAAGGAATGAATTGCTGGGTGCCATTAGTCACATTGTGCTAGCTGGAAACAAATACAAGTTTGCAATTTGCATTGTAGTTGTAATGTAATGTAATTATACATTTCATGGACATTAACAAGCTGAAATTTGTGATATAAATCATTAATTAGTGCTGCTCATGGATAATTTTAGTGTTTCTACTCTAAATGGTGATACAGTAATGCAATCACAGGTTTGTCATGTATGTGAAAATTTAAAAGAAAGGAAAATGTAACAGTAAACAGTTTATATCTGCTCATTGAAACTGAAGAAACCTTGTTTGGTGACAACTCTCCCTTTGAAAAAATAAATCTTACAGGGCTCTTAACTATTACCTAATCTAGCCAGGACTAAATTGTGTTTTGTATTTACGTACACTTTATTCGTTTTCATAGAAATGGATGCCTCATTATGTCTAATTCTTGTGGGGAATGAAACTGTGTAGGCACAGCATGAAAACCTGCGACAATAGATTGGTCAATCTAATTACAGCTGTGGGATATTTTTCTCTGCACTGTGTAGGTTTTTGTTTACTAGGTCCAGGTTCTTGGATGAGTGAGAACAGCTGCTGCTAAGATGCAAACATGCATTGATGTTCATTTTTATTGGAAAAATCTTGCATACCAATTTAAACAGATGCCAACCCCCACTAAATGATTGCTTCAGTGATCTATCAAGGTCCTGGTACTTTTTTGGGCTTAGGGAGGGCATGCCTTTGCGAGTTACAGAAATGTGCATAGACATTTCAAGAGACGCTGGAGGTCCAGGATTAAAAACAAGAAGCATGTATAGGTCTTTTATGGTGCTTGCTTTTGTATGTGTGTCTTGGATTCCACTGGCTTTCTTTATGAAACCGTAATCCACTAGTTTGAAGAGTAAATTATAATCTACATTTCTTTCTTGTTTTTTAGATTCACCTTTATGTGTAATAGAAGAAAGACAGAACTGCAATGATCCAAAAAATTCTGGAGTCTGGAAATATCCATGTAGCTTTTTGTGAAGCTTGGTTTACAAAATGTTTTTTTACTCCTGCGATGTAAGGATAACAATCTTATCTTAATGGGACAGTGGTGGATTATGTATTGCATTTCTATGTGGATTATAGGTACTTTTGTATCTTATGGACCTCATTGCATATCAGGATGAAGAAGACATATTTCTTCCCTTAAATGTGAGGATGGTACGGCGAGGACTTCTGAGTTGGGTTTCCCGGGTGGGGATCCTTCTCGTCTGTCTTTGCTGTATAGTTTCTGTCTTGTATATGCTAGCATGCACTCCAAGAGCTGAAGATGAACAGCTCATACTTCCACGAATTAATAGCCCTACTGGGAAAGAAGGCTACCATGCTATTTTGCAGGAACGTGAGGAAGAACATCGGAATTATATCACTAGTCTGAAAAAACAAATAGCTCAATTGAAAGATGAGCTTCAAGAACGCAGTGAACAACTCAGAAATGTTCAAGGTCACTACACTGATTCCCTCACTGTGACCTTCGACCATGCCAGCCCTGAGAAGACACAGACAGACCTCTTAAACTTTCTACATTCCCAGGTTAGCAAGGCTGAAGTACATAATGGTATGAAGATCCCCACTGAATATGCCGCTATTCCATTTGATAGCTTCACTTTTCACAAAGTGTACCAATTGGAAACAGGACTTACACGCCACCCGGAAGAAAAACCTGTAAGGAAAGATAAACGGGATGAGCTAGCAGAAGCCATTGAGGTGGCAGTGGAGATGCTGAATAGTCCTGAGGATGGAAGCAATGCACATAGACGAGTATACACTTCATCCGACTTTATTGAAGGTAAAAAGTTCAAATGATGAATATAAAATGAGTTCCCAATGTTTTTTGGTAATTTTCAATTTGGTCCTTGTTTGTAACTTTTAATGTGCAGTCAGTGGATTTACCTGAATTTCTAAAAGAAAATGCTCAAGAGCAGACACAAATCATTATGATGGTTATAGGAATACATGTGTTGCTGAGTTGCCTGAATCTGTGTGCCATGCTGTTGATACAAATTAAGCAGTGTAATTACATATATTTATCATTACGACATGCATTTGAAAGCAGCAGTATATGAAAGAGTTCGTGTTCTTGGTGCAGCTTTATCCTGCACATGCGCACTCCCCCCCCCCCCCCCCCCCCCACCCCACCCCCCACCCTTTTACTCTCTCTCTGT